AAATCATTCGTAACAATTCCGGTTATTTTTTTTTTCATCTAAGTATTTCTCATTATTTTAATTTTCTTTACGTGGCTGCTTTAACTTTTCTTTCCCGTTAGGATAAATGATTGCAAAGACAGATTTAGAAGCAGCACTCCTTTTTCGATTTATCAATCAATAAATAAATGAAGTGAACATGAAGCTTACAATTAAATTACAATTACATTTGCAACAAACATGCAAAACAAAAGGGGGGGGTAAAGATTTAAAATTTTAAAATATCAAAACTCATGGTTAAAATTAAAAAGTAATAGAATAACTTGGTAAGTTGATTGTTTTCGTGTACAAGAAGAGAAAGGCACGAAGAAAAATGGCAATAATAATAATAAAATAATTACTAAATGATGAAATGACATTACTCACTTTTTCCCCGACTGATCCACAACTTGAATAAAAAAGTATCTCACTGGTAAAACAATGTTGGGTTGCAGACCTGGGCCCCAAATCAAAGTTTTTTCTTTACTCAAACTTGTCCTGGAACTACACTCTACCAAACTATTGCTCAGCCAATTTAAAAATATTATTGCCAAAATAAAAGCAATTTTCCTTGACATTATTTCACTTCGACTAGACATTATAAAAACTTAAATTTAGAAATGTCAACTTACTGGCATGAATCGGAAATTCAACAGTAGTGTTCGTCGTTCTTTTATTACTAAGATACTGCTAAAAGTTACAAGATTACAGCAAGCACTAATGATGATGACTAGCACAAGCAGCAGTCAGCAAGGTAGTTGTAATTTTGTTCCTCGCCAATCTTAGTGACCGGAAGAAAAGTTAACTTCAACTTAACGTTTAATTTTAATGAAATATTATTTTAATAAACTAAAAATTGCTCTACAAGTGACAATATGTCTTGTACGGGATTCAGAAAATCTCCAAATACAACAAATTAAAGAGCTAAAAACGTGACAAAATTTGAGAACAGTAAAACTTTTTGCCTTTCTAATTCTTACTTACGGTAAAAAGTGCTTGCTCGACCTCATATTAATAACACATTTTAAAAAATATCCACCAAGAATGCCACCATAATGAATTTTTATATCGAACAAAGAAAATAAAGAAAACGGGAAAAGAAAAGAATACCAGAATAAAAATAAAACAGAAATAAAATTTAAAAAATAAAGAAAAGAAAACCGAAAGAAAAAGAAAAAAAAAAATCGAGAAAAAATACTTGCCAAAAAGACAAGGTTCCAAGTATTTTTTTCCGTTATCTTTTTTTGATAACGGAAAAAAAATACTTGGGGAAAGAAATCGGGAAAAAAATAAAGAAAAACAGCAGAGAAACAAAAAAAAAAAAAATGAACAAAAAGTTCCCCCCCCCCAAACACACACATACGACGGAAAAAAGAAACAAAAAAGGGTAAGAAAGAAAGAAAATGAGAAAAACTGAAACAAACAAAAAAGAAAGAATACCAAAAAAAATAAAAGAAATCCAGAAAAAACCATGGTAAAAAAAAAGAAACGGTCAAAAATGTTTACCACAGATAAATTTTTAAAAATCCCTACCCACTGTTTTTTTGTTTTCTTTTGTATTTTGTTGTTGTGTTTTTTTTAAATACCCCAAATCAGAGAATTAATTACCCAGTTTAAATGAAATTTTCGGAACTTATTCATTAATGAGCGAATTTTACTGAGGTTATTATTATTTTATTACAATACCTCTCCTTTCTGGAATATTTTCCCTTACATGGTGAATTGGTAGGATGAAATTACAAATACTTTTAGTTTTTACTTTTTAGTTTTATAAATGAAAATCCCTGAAGATAATTATATTTCAAAAAAAAACTTCAATATAAAATCAGAAAAATCTTGAAAATTTATCTATAAATTTGTAAAATAATAAAACTGAAAAATATTGAGAGTTCGTGTTTGTTTGCATAATTTAATAAAAACAAAACATTATTTTCTTTCAGAGATGACAAGGAAAATATCTACAATTAATATTTACTTTTGAAAAAATTACTTGTAATTCTTTCGATTTGCTAATAAAAAAATATCCCTTTGTATCTGAAGAATCGAAAAATGTATCATCATCTTTTAAAAGAATTTTATTTTATTTTCACCACCTTTAGATTTTTTGTATGGAAGATCAAAAGGAATAATTCAACAATTCCAAATCACCTCTAATATTGTAATATACGGTTTACTTTAAAATAATTATATATGATACCTGGGTGAAACATTTTCTTTAAAAAATACTGGATGAGAGCGTAGTGTGGGTTCGCGTCCAACAGTTCTACCTCACTTACTAATAAGTCGTATTTATTCTGACGGATGTGTCTTTATAGCAAAATAGTACCTGGCTGAAGAGAAATTCAAACAGAACTTCGTTTTGGGAATTTAAAAATCCCTCATGCGGTGTCGCATTCGTGTTAGTGCACAATAGAGTTTTGATCAAGTAGGGAAACTCAGACAGCAGCTTTTCTCAGTGTGTAATTTGGCGCTAGTGATTCGCGACCACTAGTTTTACGGTCTTCGATATAATCCCATTGCAGCGATCGCATATACCGTTACCCTGGGAATTATACGGCGTGATTCGACTCACAGCCACGTTCAATTCAGTTAGGAATTTAATCATCCCCACATGAAAGCGGTTCCTTTATCAGTGTAAACGTACGCTGGTACACCAAAAATTGAGAATAAGGAACAGAGACATTGTATTATCGCTTCTGTTTAAAAGTCTGGACAGGGAAAAGTGAATGAGAACCTAGAGTATTCATCGATTACCGTTAGAGTGTAATTTATTTCTAGTTTTGGTTGATAGCAGCCCCTTGAAAGCTAAGTGAAGCCTTTCAAAGTGTTGTGTCGGTTTTACAAGAGTTCCTTGTTTGAGTTAGTAGAACCGGGATTTAATCGCCGAGCACGTCTGTCAGTTGTGCGTAATCCTCCTGACTTTCTCGACAAAGAAAGGTAGGTTTCGACTGCGTATCACATGTAGCATTCTGGTGATAGTCAGGTGACACAGTTCTTTATGCAGTTACAAGAGATCTTCAGTGCATTTTACTGATCCCTACACTCTTGAAAGGGCGTCAGCCACTGAATTTTCCCTTTTTTTCCTTTTTCTCTATTCCTAAATGTTGCCGTTCCGACCGTGAAAATGTTCTAGAGAATAACGCTACGGGGCAGATGACTTTGGGAGCTCAGGGACTTTGGGCTGAGAACCCGCATCAAGTGCCTCTGAAATCCACGTCAGCTGTCACCAGATTTCCTGGTTCTATAACTTTGAACTCAGTTTCTCCAGAAGTTTTGACAAGGCCCAGTGTCACTATAGTGATTGATGCGCGAAAGGTAAATTTTGTTGTACCAATAACTATATAAACCAATTGAAGATTAATTCCATGAATCTCTTGTTTTATTTTTTCGTCGATTACAATGACCTTCAATCTTTCACTGCTCTTAGATCAAGAACAGTGTGAGCAGAGTTGGTGTAGTTCGAAGCGGCTAGCGACCAACAACCAGCTTGGTCAGTGGTTAAAACGTCGTCCTAAGACCCCGAGGACCGGACCACTAAACATGGTTACACCACCGGGTGTAGGCGGCGGCGAAAGGTGTTACATTAATTGGTGAACGTTTTTGTATTTTGCTATTGTGTTAATAACAAATGAACATGAATAAGAACGATAAAACAATGAGATAAAACAGTAGCTCTGTCGCGGTCGCCGATTAGACGCTCCTTAGAAAGCCGACCTTGACCTTCACAACCCCTGATCTCGCAGATTTAGGTCAAGCAACATGCGAAAAACCGGACGACTAGTCCAATATCGTTGATGCCAAACCGTACCTCGTGAGCATCGGATTATGCAGCGCTCTTTCAAACATCGGCAACCATTGATATTAATTTAATATCTACGGTTTTCTACTCCCTCTAGCCAGGGAGTACTTGAATAAATCGCTCCAAATATTGTTAGCCACTTTTTTCGTCAAAGTGCAAACTTTTGGATTTTACCACTTGGACAATGTCTGACACAAGGTCAGTAAAAAAGGATTCGCCGGACAGGCCGGAAAATTCTGCTAAGGTAAGTAACTCAAGGAAAAAGAGGCACTTGCCCAACCAGGATTTTACCAAAAACGGATTACCTCATTCTCCAAATTCGACCTTATCTCCTGAAGTGGAGAAAAATAACCAATTGCCTCCCCAAGAGGCATCCAACTTAGACCAAAGGCTGCTTCCTGAAGAGGCAACCAAAACTGACCCTCCGCTTTCTAATGAGAAGGCAACTGACTCAGACCAGCTGTCTACTAAAGATGCAGTGACCGAGGAATTACCCTGTGGCTGGAAGACCCCACCCACATGCATTTTCAATTTAAAGGAATTCCTGGAGAGGGCTGATAATTATGCCCATCTTATTAAAGATGGCGGGTTGTTAGTGGACCCACAGAAATTGGAGATGTATCAGGAAAGGACTGTGTCCGTGTTTGTGGTCGATAAGCGTCTACGCAAGATATGCCGATCCACAAAAGACATTGTTTTCAAGGCTCTGTCGTCGTTTGGATTTTTGCCGCAGCAAATTATCCGAGGTGCTGGAGCCTTTATGTGGGATGTACTGCTGCCCACACCCGAAGACTGTATTTCCATGGTCAACAAGGAGTTGATCACAAAAGATCTGATCCTCCGTACGAAATACAGGGCGATGAGAAAGACCAGGGTGGCAGTGTATGAAGTACCAGCTCATGTCAAAGGAGAGGCACTGGCTGCCTATTTCAAACAGTTTGGGCAGATAATCAGCGTCTCCTCGGACCGTAAACTGGGAGAATGGAGCTTCAACATCATGCTCTCGAAGGAGGCCTTCGGCTCCATTCCCAACTGTTTGAATATTGGTAAGAGGTCCTTACCTGTCATTGTGACTGGTAGGAAGCCAACCTGCTGGAAATGTGGAAAGCCCGGTCACCTGGCGCCTTCCTGTCCTGAGAAAGTGACCTCTGAGGTTCAGCCTTGCCTCCGACAAAACCCCCCATCAGCCAACAGTCAAGACCAGTAATGGGAAACCATCCGATTCGGTGTTGCTGTCTTCCCCTCTGACTAAGGAAAAGGAAGGGGATTGGCAGGTTGTCAGCAAGAATAAAGGGAGGGACCAAACAATGTCTACTACTTCCCCTAAAGCTTGTGCGTCCATAGACACCCCCACTCCTCGCAGCCGTACGGGTGATACTTCAATCACTGTTCCATGGACTGTCAAGGATCCGTCGTTTGATAAAATCCAGGAGATTATAAAGTTGAAGGAGTCTTTAACAACACCAACATTGTCATCATCATCAGCATCAAAATCATCTTCTTCGACTCCAGCTTCTCCGGCGCCAAAATCATCACCACCATCGTCTCCCACAGACTCTACTCGCCCCTCATCCTCTGCCCCATCTTCCCCGTCCAAGTTGAAAAAACAACCAAACGCCTCGGCAAGAGCCCTCTCTTTCTCGCCGAAAAAGAGGACTGCAATTCCCTTGGCTAACACGAAACCGCCTGCGCCGTCCCCTATTAAAAAAGACAGCGTTACTCCCGGAAAGAGACAGAGGAGTCCTTCGGAAGAAGCCAGCGGGAAAAAGAGGAAAGCTAAGCTGGCTTATAACACGGGGAAGAATGTCTGCCGTGTAACAACAGAAAGTGAGGAGAAAGCAAAGGACTTTGCCAAGAGGACCAACAATTTGAAAGTCCCCCTAGCCATGAAAAAATGTGGCGACAAAGAACTAGACGATCCCACCAACTTTCCCAAGGCAAAGATGGTCCTAACTGTCGTCCGCATCGGGTCTGGTTCACGGCAGATCTGGGGTATGATAGAGGAGGCGAGAAAGAGCTTCCCGGTGCCTTCTCAACTAGTCATCACGAACAATGATGAACTGAACAAACTGAAACAGTTCTATTGTGGGAGGGTCCCCGTTTTGGTTCACCCTTCCCTATACAGGGCATTAAAATTAACATTTCCTTGGGATGTCGGCGGCTTGTCCGAGGACGGGTCCATCAAGACTGTGATGGGCACTGGTTCCATGGGTGAAGCTGTAGGCATTCTCACCCCGACTATGTTTCAGGGCGACGCCCAACCCTAAGGTAAGTGTCTCACAATGGCTCTGTGGTTGGCAACGTTGAATGGGAGAGGGCTGAGGTCAGAGTCTCGCAGGGCGAGGCTCGTGCGTGACCTTCAGCATCTCGGTGTGAATGTTTGTTGTCTACAGGAGACCCATCTTATTGCCAGCGACTATGAGAATATTCTGTCGAAGAGGTTTCACCTCACTCAGCTTATTTTGATAGTCGCTCAAGAGGGGTTTCTTGGCCGATCAGCAGGTCCCTGGCGGCGCTCTTGTGTTCGCGGATCCGGAGGGCAGGCTTTGTGTCCTGGACGTTACCATAAAAAGTAAGTCTCTTCGCTTCATCGGGGTTTATGCGCCCAATGACCAGGCGGAGCGGGCGTCCTTTTTTCGTCAGGTCGAGCCGTTTTTGGCGACGTCTCGGCAGGTAGTTTTAGCGGGTGATTGGAACGCCGTCCTTGATCCCGAATTAGATCGTAGTGGGTTAAGATCGGGCTCTTACAACCGGGACGTGAAACCGTTCCGTGATTTTATCGACAAATCTGATCTTGTCGATAAGTTTCGGAACGAACACCCGGGCAATTAGCGTGGACTTGGACAAATAGGGGCGGCCCGGATTCGGTAGTTCGCACGAGCTACATCGACCGGGTTTTAGTTAGGAGAGTCGATGTAGGGCTCTTAGAGTGTCCAAGTTTTCATTCGATAGTTTACTCGGATCATCGGCTCGTCCGGGTGCAGGTAAACTTAGATAAGCCAAAACCTAGAATGACTAGTTACTGGAAGTTTAACACGTCATTGCTCGACGTGAAGGACTTCCGTGATCAGCTACTGATAACAATACAGAAGGAATTGACGGGGAGTGTGCTTGGGAACAAGTGGTGGGGACACCTTAAGTCAGTCATCAGGTCGTTTGCAGCTGATTATAGTCGTCGACTCAATAGAGATAGATTAGCAGCGCAAACGGCAGCAGAATCTAGATTAGAGGTTGCCATCCGGTCGGGAGATAGTGTGGAAGTAGCAGTAGCTAGGGCCGAGTTGGCCTCCTCGCTTATCAAGAAGGACCAAGCTCGGGTAGTTAGGGCTAGGTTGAAGAAAATGTCTGCCGAGGCGACCAACATGGCTGCAGAACTGAGGAAGGAGGAGATGCGCAGCGCGTCAGATCGCTACTTTCCGAGCGTCATATCGCCGGACGGACGACAGGTGACTACGAACGAAGGCATCTGTGAGGCCTTTCGATCTTATTTCCACGACCTGTTCACCAGGGAGCCCGGTCTGAGCCCCGCTAATTTCGACGCATATTTAGCCGACTTTCCACGTCTCGAGACTGGGAAGGCGGATATGTGCGAAGGGGCTGTCACCAAGGCGGAAATCTGGGAAGCGTTAAAGCAGGTTGGCCGAGACAAGACTCCGGGTTTAGACAGTCTTCCCTACGAGTTGTACTTGAGGCTGTCGCCCGTTTTCGTTCCGCTGCTGGCACTGATGTTCAACCACTGGTTGAGGAATGGGACCATACCCCAACGCTTCACCAGGGGTGTCATCAAGTTGCTACGCAAGAGCAAAAGCGGAGGGGGTGGGTTAGATATTTTCCGCCCTTTGACTATGCTGAATGTGTAGTTGAAGATTTTGGCGAAGGTCTTGGCCAACCGTTTGCAGCTTGTCCTCGATGGTCTCATAGGTCCCGAACAGACATGCGCTGTGAGAGGGAGGACTATCCAGGACAACCTTCATATGGTTCGCCAGATCATGGAAAAAGTCGACGGTGAAGCCGCGCTGATCAATTTGGATCAGTCCAAGGCATTCGATAGGGTGGACCATCGTTTCCTCGAGGCCGTTCTCGCCTCTGCCGGTTTCGTGTGCCAATTTCGTTCCTGGATCCGTCTCCTGTACAGGTCCCCTGGGGCGCTGGTGGAAGTGCACATCTACCCGATTCTCCTTTACCGGCTTTCGGTTCTTCCACTCCCGTCTACCGAACGAGACAATTTCGTTAAAGAGCTTTTCGATTTCCTCTGGAGAGGAAAGGCTCACTTGGTAAGTCACGAGGTCTGCTGCCTCCATCCTGCCAAGGGCGGTCTGGGAATGCCAAGCGTCGAGACACGTCAGCACATGCTCCGCTTGAATTTCCTAGAACGGATATGTACGCAAAACGACGACGAGAGCGAATTCTGGAAGGAAGACGCTCGTCAAGCTTTTCCTTCCCTTGAAAGTGTGCATTCCGATGAGGTGGAGGCTCACCGCCCATCTGATGGTGAATGCTTCTTTTATCAGGAATGTAGAAAAGCGCTGCTCTGCCTCCTTGGGGTAAAAAAAACGCCTTTCTGACACTCGGGGGTTGTCACAGAAGGCTTTGTATAGGGTAGTTGTGAGGGTAAAGTCCAAGGACAAGCTCCCGAGCGAGCTGGGCCTTACGAACAAGGAGTTTCGCTCTGTCTCGCCTTGGGCGCCCGGGTTGAAATGTCTCAATAACGACGAGGCATCTCTCACCTGGCTGGTGTTGCGAGGGGCTCTCTGGGTCGGCAAAATGCTATGCTCAGCGGGCTTGGCTATTACAGCCAAATGTTTGCGCTGTGGTGACTGGGAGGAGTCAATCGAACATGCCTTCTTTCACTGCAACCTTTGTGCAGGGTAATTGAAGGCTTCATGGTTCGCGTCTTGGACGGAAAATTTTTTGCCCTGGAAGCCAGTTCCGTTTGTTCCAATGTGGTTCCGTCAATGTCGTGGGATCAGCACTATGTGCTCTTGTGTCTGCTCGGCATTATGCGAATGGTAGTATGGACGACTAGACAGAAGGAGTTTCACGCAGGCGAGAAGTTTTCCTCCTTGCAACTGGTCTCTTTCTTTAGGCATCAGCTTAAGGTTAAGATCAGGACGGAGAGGGTGCGTCTCTCTGCGGCGAAATTTGGCAAAAGGTGGGTGAAAGTTTCACGCTTGGTGCGAGTGAGAGGTGCTGACCTCGAGTGGTTGTTGGATGCAACTTAGACAAGAGGATTTTGGGACTCGAACCGAAACATCAGTCAACCCAGCCTTTTTTAAGGTAAGATAGGACCTTTTTAATCTTCAGTTTTGGCCTCCTCAGGGCTAAATATTTTCCTTTCAACATAGCTAGAGCATGCAAGTACATAAGTCCCGCCTTTTTGTCCCCATTTGAGTTACTTGTTTCCACCCCATCCCACCTTTTAGGTGACAGATGTCTCTTTTCTCTGAATTTCTTTCAAACCAGTTAATCGAGATTTCTGCCACATTTTTGGGAAGGGTCCTACTACTAATATTGTTTTGTTTAGTTTCTATTACAAACACATTTTTCATTGTATATAATCATTGGGTTTGTGATTTTTGTCCCCCATCCCTCGATAATTGTGTAAATAAAAATTTCATGTCAGGGCTTTCTCATAGAGAAAATGTGGTATTTTGGTGATTGTGGTGCGACAGCAAGGAGTAAAAGCGTTGTTATGGTGAAAGGAATATTGTAAGTACGAATGGGTCAAAGAATGAGACTAGTTAGTTTGAGATAGGACCACCCCCTTTTTAGCCCTCGTGGCACATTTGTACCTTTTTGGTGAATAAATAATATGATCAAAGTGTAGTACGCTGCCTTTGTGAGCTTCCGAGTCGGCGTCTGTCGAACTCTCTGCATTAGCAGAGAGGAACCCGGACGAAGCTTTGCCGAAGGGCAAGGTTTCGTTCGGGGAGGTAGACAGGGCCTGAATCCGTCTAGGCGGGTTCAAAAAGGCTATATTTTTGGCCGAGCCTACGGGCTCGGGGATACCCACATTAAACCAGCCTTGTGCCACATTCTATCCTCGTATATCTAGCCAATGATGTAACTGCTTTCGTGTCGTCCCGCAGAGGCATTGAGGCAGTACAGAAGGCGCTTGATCGGTACGAAAAGGTGACAGGGGCCAAGATTAACCGCGACAAGTCGTCCGGCTTGCGGCTAGGCGTCTGGAAGGGGGTCGATCTTCCAGGGCCCTTCGGTTGGACGGACGGTCCTGTCCGCATTCTCGGAGTGTGGTTTGGACCCGACCTACAGCTGGAGAAGAATTGGTCTGAAGTACGAGCAAAGGTCGACCCCGCCGGTCAGACTTGGCGTCAACGGAGGTTGTCCGTGAAGGGCAGGGCGGAGGTGTGTGCTACATACATTTTCCCTCTTGTCCTTTATCGATTGTCCGTACTTCCTCTCTGTGACGACCACAGGAAACCGCTCGAGCGCTCGCTAACCTCCATTCTATGGAGGAGACGCGGGAATCGGGTCGACAGAGAAGTCTGTGAACAACGTCCGTGTCATGGGGGGTGGCTGGGAATGCCACACTTGCTGAGCCACAAATGTGCCTCGAGGTTGGCTTTCTTACGCCGCGCGTTGACAGGGGGAGATTCGATTATTGAGGGGATTGTGAGGGCCGCTTTCCCTCGCCTTACCATCAGTTCCCCAAGCTCGCGGGTGGAGCGCCGTCGTAAACCCCGGGTTCAATCGGTTTTCTTTCGCGAGTGTCGGTCGGCCTTGTTGGCTGTCCCTTGGTCCAGTGACCTTCCTCGGCCTAGGAAGGACTTCTATCGTTTGCTAGTGGAGGGGGTCGCGAAGGATCCCTTACGCAAGGATCTCGACATGTCGGACGATGAGTTTCGCTCTCACTGGTCTTGGGCGCCAGCGGCGGATTACCTCAGTAACCCTGAGTTTTCGCTTACCTGGCGACTGGTTCGGAATCGGTTGCCTCTCAACGACAGGGCCTTCATATGGGGCTTGGTGGATTTGCCAGACTGCGATCGGTGTGGCCTTGGTCTAGAGGAAACGGCTTCGCACGCCTTCTTCCATTGCCCCCGGGTCCGCCCCTTATGGGACCATGTCGGCGAGCTGACGGCTCGTCTCGCTCCCGAAAAGCTTGTGCCCATGAATCGCGCATACGCGTGTGACAATGTGTCGCCCCCGTATTCCGGGGTGAAACGGATGATGTTTCTCACGCTGCTAGCCACGGCCCGAATGGTGATATGGACGACGCGAGTGGAGGAAGTCTTGCGGGGTAACCGTCTTTCTCATCAGGATCTGATCCGATTCTTTGAGCATCAGCTCAAGACGAAGATTAAAACTGATAGAAAACGCTTGCATTCGACAGTCTTCAGCGAAAGGTGGGTGACTGAGGCGAGCTTGGTTCGTGTGAACGGGGCTAGCCTTGATTTTCTGTTTTAGGTCAAGCCTACGTTACATCGGGGTGGCTTCCTGTGGTGCCCTCCCCTTGGTTAGATTAGACAAGCTTTGGTGTACCTAGTTAACGCGAGTAAGTGTTGTTCCCGGCCTGCCCCCCGGCCACATCTTTAGTTATGATCCAGCCTGAGATTCCCAACCTCCCCAGTTTGTTTTTTGACCCCCCAATTTCTATCTCGACTGGGTCAGCTTTATACTTCCCCATCCCCGTATGATTTTTTATCACCTTTCCCACTCCCTTAGCGAGAGAGCTGCTTGATTTTGTTCCAATGGGCAGAATATAGTGGTCTCCCTGCCTTTTGAGGGTTGGACGGGCCCTACTAACATCAGTTAAAGTTTAATTTCATTTATGTTAATATTTTAGTTCGTTATTGGGTTCATCCCCCCCTCATCTTTTCATTTTAGAATTTTGTACATATGTGTTAGGATCATTAAAATTACTATGACACGGGGCGCGTTGTGTAGGTCTCTCTAGAGTGAATGTGGTATTATGGTGCATGGAGGATCGATTGGTGACGGACGAGTTCTTATGGTGAATGAGTAAATTGTAATGTCTGAATGGGTCGTGAATCAAATTAGCTAGGTATAAGATAATTAGTGAAGACCAGCCTTTTACCCCCCCTCCCCCTTTTCGGCCTTGTGCCACAATTTTGTATTTTTTACGAAATAAATCCCGGCCTAGATCAAAGTGTAGTACGCTGCCTTTGTGAGCTTCCGGTGCTTTGTCGAGAGTGTTACTCTTCGGCGCGATCCCGTCTCCGCGGTCGATCCGCCCTGTGAAGTCTATCACTGTTCAGTCTTGGCCCTGTTTAGGGACTCCGTCTCCGCCAAGTGATACACTTTGGCGCGATCCCGTTTCCGCGGTCGATCCGCCCTGTGAAGTCTATCACTGTTCAGCCTTGGCCCTGTTTAGGGACTCCGTCTTCGAAGTCTATCACTGTTCAGTCTTGGCCCTGTTTAGGGACTCCGGCTTCGCCAAGTGATACACTTTGGCGCGATCCCGTTTTCGCGGTCGATCCGTCCTGTGAAGTCCATCACTGTTCAGTCTTGGCCCTGTTTAGGGACATCGATCAACCCTATACGACCGGACCAGATCAACTCTATACGACCGAACCAGCTACATTCGCCGATCAACCCTATACGACCGGACCAGATCAACTCTATACGACCGGACCAGATCAACTCTATACGACCAAACCAGCTACGTTCGCCGATCAACTGTATACGACCGAAAGCTACCCTAAACAACAAACCAGTCATACCGGACCCGACACCGATTTAAACGCATTAATAAATTCGACGTTATTGTTCCATGAACCTTTGCCTTTGTCCCCTCATTGTCTTGGCTGTTCACACGTTTCTTCATAAAGCTTGCACGGGCGACATCCTTATTGGCCCCGCAACAGCTCTGAACAATGTGGAATCTTTAGCTTACTACTATGTTTGATATTGCCTAAAAAGTCATTCGATGATGGTAGAAACGAAATTTCTAAGGATTTTCAGTAGAACCAAAATAAAATTTAACATCGTTACCGGAATGTATGCTTGCTCAGTATACAATATTATCGATCATATATTGACCATTTAAGGGACTGATCATATTTTTTCAGCAGTTGTATTTATTTTTAGAAAAATTTACGTTGTCAATTTTGGAAATATATTTGTTTAATGTTTTTATGAAGTGAAATGGATTTGTCTATGTTATTAACGCAGCTAATAGCATTATTTCTGCTGAAAATCTTTTTTTAGTGTTGTGAATGGTTAAAGTACTTATGAATTAAATTTAGGAAAATTCTTCCGATATTAGTTACGCTGACGGTGTGCCTGTTTATTCTTACCTTCTTTTTTTCTAAATACACTAAATTTACTTTATGATTGCTTAGTTCTGAAGCCTTTATATATCTAATTTTAATTTATCAAATATGTCCTTATTGCTGGAGTTAGTGAATAATTCAAATTTATGTAAATTATCTAGAATTTGTGGTGGTGGTTTGATTATTTACTAACGGATCTATCATTATATAGATTTTTTTGTATATGGTTTATAATAACCATTATTCAGGTCTAAGGTTATATCGAGAAAGTTGATCATTTTAGTATTGGTGGTGCTGGTAATATTTAGTTCGAGATCTTTAAAAAGAATTATCAATTATCAGTTCCTTTCTCAATCGGTCTATATTTCATGGGTTATTTTTAAGGAGGAGAATTACACTGTCATCTCTGGTGTCATTTATGCCAAAAATAAATCTAAGTCTCCACAATAACAGAATTCCAACAAGTTCGCATGCCTCCACTGAATCATACGCTCCCATAACAATATTAATTTCTGAGTTAATTCTTTTGGTTCACAGATAACAATTATGGAATACTATAGTTTTGTGACTGCGTTATGATATTTATTTCACGATCGCTAATAGGACAGTAATGTTTTTTGTTAGATTAAAAGCCGACATTAGCAGATTCTCGGTGATGGATGGGTAAAAGTCACAAATATAGAATTGGATGAATGTACATTAATTCCTATACAATTTTTCGTGTAGTATTTGCATGCTTTTTCAAGGATGTTTCTGCTGATTTTACCGATATTATGTTTAGTTGTGTTGAGTAATCAGTATTTGAGGGTTGTTTAGAAAATTTGCCTCATGGTCTTTAACTGTAATAAATGCTTGTTTGTGGAATTTGTAGACCTATCATTAATTTTTAGTTCAGTGGCTATTTTCTCGACTTCACTACTGGTGTTTTTTTTTTCATCCCAAGCAAGGCGAGAATGCTACTAGTACGCAGGGGGTTACAAAGAGTGAAAGTGAGAAAAACGTCTCTGTATAGGGGGTGGTGAGGAAAGGATAAAAGATGAACGGGCTTCAAGAAGACAGAAGATGGCGATTGACGTTGCATTTAAATTATTGTAGTTTTCAGGGAAGCAAGTAAACGGAAGAGAGTCCCACTTTCGGGAAGTACGAGAAAAGAAACTGTTGGAGTAGTGGTAGCGGTTATATTTAACTATTTCAATAACTGCAAAATTTTAAAAAAGGCTAAGCCACAATAATATTTGCAACTTCTGCCAGCAGGAAAAATTAGCAATTATGTCATTTCCGGATTCAAAAACCATTTGAACCAGAAATCCGAAGTTTTGAGTCCTTGCATACATATTAAGAAAGGATAAAAAAAATAATTTATATTTCAATTACCACCCACCGGTACTTTTATAATACTCTTGCTTTTCTTCTTCTCCTTTATCTTCTTCTTCTTGCTTCAAATCCTCCTCCCCCTTTCTATTACACCCAACGTCGTGCGTTTGTTTATTTATTTTAAAAAAATAATAGAGCGTTCATTAGTTTAAAAAAAATAAAGCGTTAAGAGGTCATTTGATAAAAATCGCCTGAGACTATCGTAAGATTGAAACCAAGGTAGCGGATTCAACTGATCTCCTAATTTTTAATATATATATATATATATATATATATATATAAACACAATGTCTATACACAGAAGGATAGCGAAATCTGGAGGTTCAAGTGTTCAAATGCAAATACCCTGGTGCATACGGGAGAGAGAGAGAGAGAGAGAGGGAGTGAGAGAGAGGGAGTGAGAGAGGGAGTGAGAGAGAGAGTCCTGGAGAATGTAAATATATATGTGCGCATTTGACTGTAGTATCTGCCTGCTTTAAAATATGGGTGAAAGAAAGGATATATGTTTTAGCGTCAACGTAGGACTGTGTGGATGTCTAAGGTCACCTGTGGGTCGCACATGTGTCGTATGGGTATGTTACGATGCCCGCATCACCAGGGAATAGTTAAATTAATTCACAGATTTGGTTGATATTCCATCTCGTTATATACATATCTAGAGATCCACTTCGAAAATTCTGCTTGACTCCTGGTTAACTCACGATTAGTTACCGTATATCCTGTTTGCGAACAGCTCGTTTCTGGTTTGCTTGCTAGATTAAGTTGTTTGTATCATGGTCAGGACAGTTTCAGATTGGTTGGTCGAAATATGATTTCATGGCCTAGCGATTCTGAATATGCATCTATTTTTTATAGAAATTTTGGTCTCCTTGTTATTATTTGTTTTGTTTTTTTCTGTGACTAAACTATTAAAATAAAACACCAAATCAGATTCTGACGAGTAAAAATAAACATGCATCTCATTTCGTTTATTTCTTTAAACTAACCCTAAATACAGAATTCAAGAAATTGGCACCAAACACAAACGGGTCATGTGATATCCGGTAAAGTGGGACAGAGTAGCAGGTGTGAAATGCTCTGAAATATGAACCACATCAACACAACTCGATTTTTATTTCTAACTATAAAAATAAATGCAAAATTATATAAAAATAATTAAAGGGTAAATAAAAGAAAATAATGCAATAAACTAGGTTTATTTGTTACATTTTCTTTTGAGTGGAATATTTTACAAAATATTTATTAATAGAATTATTAATAGTCAATAGCACGGTTTCTTTAAATAGAAACTGCTAAATATAAATCAGACGGATAGTAAAAACTTACTTTAATGAAATTTGATGCTTAGAACTTTGTATATATGAGGTTCAAATTAAAGTTGTAAAAATGTGTCAAAATCTAACACTTTATAAAAGACGTATAAAAACACGTATAAAATTTATTTTTAAAAAATTAATAAAAAAAGAGAAGATCAAGTTTGCAAGCAGGTGTGGTTTAAAGAGATGTTTGTAACCAATGGGGAAAGTTACAACAACATAGTATTACATTTCTGATTAATTCGAAACTGATTTGTGACTATTTAAGAAGTTTGGTTTGACAGAAAGAAAGGTTTTGGCTTTCACAAGCGAATGACCGTGGGCTGCTTTAACAAAGAAAAATTAATAGTAGGTAACAATGATGACCAAAGGTAATAAAATAAAAAGATAAGAAAGCAGAAAATTCTACAAATTTAGAGAGATATGCAATTATTCTTCTATAGTTATTTGTGAATGTTTGCCACAAAATTTCGAACTTTTTATGAAAATACCAGATTTATCTCATTTTTTATTCTCAATTTGTTTCTGGTTAAACAATATGAACTATTGTCTAACCAGAAATTGTATTGCCCATGAATTGCCAACCTTCTCATCTCTCTTTGACAGCTGAATGAATCTATTTTATTTTTCGACCAATAAAAATGCTTCCCTCCTAATTAGACTCGCTTCGTTTTTCGAGCCTGTTAAGCCATCAAAAACGCCATAAAAGGGGTCACACGGAAATACAACATGCAGTCAACAGGTGGCCAGGGAAGAGACCTGTCACGGTCAGGCTGAGCGGTCAGCAGCTGTCAGCAGAGGAGCATCAACCAGCGTCAACCTGTGTGAACTACTATGAGAGATCGACCTAAATCCGAAGCCGGCTTATGAACTATACCATAAGGTAGCTGCCCCAAACCCTCACGTTCCTGTTGAAATAAATCACGTAAATCTATTTCTGCTGTTGTCGTATTTCTTTCTTGCAACCATACGCTTGTCTATAACAAATCGAATAAATACAAATATTTCGTTGATAATAATCGTTGTTTTTATGAAACCAAAAAAATTGTATTTAAAATGTGTTATCTTGCCTAATTGTCTGGCGCTCAAAAGAACATTTTGTGCAAGCTTGTTTTATAAATTTATGCTATTTAATATATGTAAATCTTCTGTGTGTGTGCGTTTTGCTTGTTTTTGCGCCATTCATAATACACAGGATAAGAGATTTGATGTTCTCTCTTCAAAAAAATCCTTATTTTACATAAAATCTATTAATTCCTGAATGCAAAGGAAGTACATTTGTGTTCGTTAAAACAAAAATCGAAAAATCCTAGCACTTCAAGAATGTATGAGAAACATACTGGAGCAGAAAAACAAGCAAGGTAACATAATTACTAATCTAGCTACGTTACAAAAAGACGCTAGACTTAAAGACTTCTGTAGAAATTCACGTCATCCATATCGTCTATGCTCGGCCCGTAATGTTTTTAAAAAAAGGACATTGGGCCAAGGTATGTAGACCCTCTGTAACTGCTGCATTATATAATCCTGACCATCCCAGTCTAGCTCGTCCAGGGACAAAAAAACAAAAGACTACCTTGACAAAGTGCAAAATAAATGGGTACATTGTTGATGCCATGATAGGGTTTGATAGCGTGGAAACTTTTATTACCAAAAGCACCGAAAAAAAAAAATTAAATTTCATCATACCGAAGAAAAAATATCCCTGGCAAACTAACCAAGACGCAAAAATTATTGGCGAAGCGATAGTTAATGTCACACATTCTGGCATGATAGTGGAAGTGATTAAAGATCTGTTCATTGATATCATCATAGGAAAGGACATCAGAAAAAAGTATGACAGAGTGGCTTTGAAATTTGATGAACCTGGAGATGAACTTATTGTCGCAGCTGTCTCTAACATTAAGCATTTCCCATCCACCCACTTCGCTCTTTTCTCATCTTAACGTTAATACAACTCCAATCATCACTAAGTCCTGCCATCATACTATTGCCGATATTAAATTTATAAGGGGAGAAACTACTAGGATGTTGAAGGAGGGTATAATAGTGTCCTCGTAACATTAAGCGAAAACAAAAAAATGGTAATCGATTACAGTGACACTATAAACAGGTTCACAGAACTAGATGTTTACCCTATGCCCAATATTTAAACTGGTTGATGATATAGTCCAGTAAAATATTTTCACTACACTTGATCTTAAATCAGCTTATCATCATATCCCTATTAGCGACAGTGAACGTAAGTACATTGCATTTGAGTTAAGTGGTAAACTATATCAATTTACTCGCCTCCCTTTTATGTTAGAAATGTAGTAAGTGCCTTCCAGAGAAGCATCAACAACATCATCGATAAGGAAAAATTGACAGAATTTTCATTGTGAATAAATGATTGAATGAATTGAATAATTGATTTTCATTGTGAATAATAATTGTGAATATGCGAGAAAAACCAAGAAGAACATGATTATAATCTTCAAAATTTCTATAATGTGGTGTTGCGAACTCGGTAGCGTGCAGTGCTGGTTTATTAAAAAGTGGCCTTGTGCCAGACACTACACAAAACTACCGAATCCACAAACAAAGTATAAATATATTGCGTGAGTGAACATAGAGGAAAAGTGGTCATTCAACACGTGCATAAATAATAATACAGGTAGATAGCCGGAATTAAACGACACAAGGCGTCTGGTCACTAAACATATGAAATTTTTATTAAATTGAAACAAGTAGGTTGTCTCGTCATTCAAGATCATCAGAGAAAGTGTTCCGCGCCAAAACAGGAAAGCAAGATGGACAAGGCGGGAAAAAGTTTTATCAGAATGAAAGTTCTGGAAAAATATGACTTGTTAACACGAGGTGTAGGTGTGCACAGATAGAAAAAGTACTCGCTGTGGATTTTGGTATTGTGAGTGTATGTAATATTTTTTTAGGTTCAGGTTCAAAGTAGTTAGAATGTTCACGGAACGAGAAGTCTCATTCTTAACTGTTGAAAGTTTTAAAGTTCCCTTGATCATAGATGTAGGCAGACTCAACAAGACGTTCGCATTACGACTAGAGAATAGTTGTCGAAAAAGGTGCAGTGGCGAAAGTTCAGTCGTCTCGGAGTTTTTGGTCGAAAGACAAAGGGAAGTTGTTGACAAGTTGTTGACTTAAGGACATTGAATTAATTGCTGAAAATTTTACATCGATTTGATGTGATTATTGCCGTTAGGATATCCCTGTCTGTATTATGGTTGACTGACGAGGGATAGAATAAGTCAACTTGTTGATACGAAGTTCTGACCGCGACTGTGTCGTGTATCTCCACGTTTGCTAGTCGAAAACGGAGAAGGTTCGACCTGCGGGTTACATCAAGACGAGAAAACTTTTCTTGGGAAAGTGTAAGGTCGACATGTTGAAATTTTGCAGTTAGGAATAAGATATTCCGGCCCGCATATGGGTTAAGGGCACGGAATAAATGAGTTGCCCGTCTAGTTAGCTTGAAAATCGGGATGCAACTGAGTTGGAACGCTGGCGTCCGTGACGTCAAAAAAACGCGCGGGAAAAAATTCAAATTCTGTTAGGCTGACTTTATCAGCAGGAGCTAGTACGCGACCTTCCTTCCTCCAGCGATTACTGCTACGTCTAGCTGAAAGAGAGAGGAAGGGGTGCAATCCGCGTGCGCGCACACACACGCACAAGTGTGGTAGGAAGGGAGGAAAACTCGCGCGCGCGTAAAATGTAGATGGAATTACTGTGTTATTCCATAGTGGTTAAGAAGTACAATATCACACTAATGACTAAAATAGTAAAAGTATCATTTCGGCTACTTTAATTATATTACTTGGGTACGCTATCCAAAACAATCAGATATCACATGACTACAACAGACTTCAATGCCGCCACCTCTAAATATAAAATCTCATAAAAGAATGGTTGGTATGTTCTCATATTATGATAAATTTATGCAGAACTTTTCAGACCAAATTCTACTACTGAATCACAACAATTTCCGCTGCCACCATAATTATTACACTCCCGTCAAATGCTGAAAAACGATTTAAAAATGCTACCTTAATAACAGTTGACCCTAAGAATTTGAAATAGAAACAAATGCTATCAATTA